GTTTGACCTAAAAATATCAAAATTAAAAATACTGTGGAAACAAAGACACCTACATCTTGGATGCCCTTGAGGTAAGCTAAAACATACCAAAAATAAATTTCAAAGTGAACTATCCCTTTAATTGTAGTTATGTAGTAAGCTATAAAGTATCTTTATTTTCTAACATCATGGCGGTGTCAACCTCCTGCTGTAGTAACAAATGAAATGACACACTGAGACCCAGCATATCCTCCTTCGGCCTGCACTTTTATAGATTACTAGAAGAGCTATGACTAGAACTCGGGCCCCTCTACTTCCCTGTATTCAAACACCTAGCCTATTTTAATCTCTCAGAGATCACTTTTGCCTTTGGAACTAGACAGCATTAGCCAGATTTTAGCTGAAGTTCAGTAGTGCCACAAGCACATTAAAGCGATTATCCGTTAGATAAGCATCTGTCTCCTCCTTCTGTTCGGTTACCTGTAGCCGACAACCTGTCAGATCCCCTCACACGACCCGACACAACACAACACAGCTCCTGACCTACTTATACTGACATACACATGCTAACTCAAACACCATCTAATCTTCAAGACATGATGCTGATTTGTACAGCATAAGCTTCTCCTTTAGGGCAGAGGTTGTGACGTATATTACACTTTCAGCCATGACACAGAATAATCAGAAATGGAGCAAATTTTTAACAGATCAAATGATATAAACCACAATGTTGTACATGTGAAATGAGAACTATTGAAAAGTCCAATACCTCAGATTTCTATTATTCAAGCTAAATGTCTCCAAATGAGTTGTTCACAGGACCTAATAATAATTAAGACTTATAATTTGGCACACTGCCGAGCTATTTAAGTGAACTGGGTAAAAAAGCTTAAGGATGCTGTAAATACACCAATATACATTACCATTTACATACAGCATCAAAAGTATATTCTTTCCCTTATACAGGATAAATTGGTATCATATCATATTGTTGTGATGCTATTTAAAATTAATGATTTTATTTACACAAAACAGTATAGAATTTTAATATCGGCCCTTTTATCAGTTATTATCAGTTTTAAAATTTAATATTGGTCATTGCATCCCCAACATTTATTAAAATTTTAACTTAAAATCTTAATGTTGAAAAAATAATAAATAATAAGTAATAATATGTTGCCAGCATGAAATTTGTATTGAAGCCTATTTCCACCACGAAATAAGAAAAGGTAATTGCAACTTTAGGCTGTATCTCACAATTCTTAATTTCTTGCAATTTTTTCATAAGCAATACAACTTATTTCTTAGAATTGTGAGTTTGCATATTACAATTTTGACTTTTCTTTTCTTGAAATTCTGAGATCTAAACTCAAAAAATCATAGTAAAAAAAGTCAGAGTAAATTGATGTTAACTTAAAATTGTGAGAAAAAAAAGGCCAGAATTGTAGAATATAAATTCAATATTATAAGAAAAAATATATTATGAGTTGCTTTATTCTAAAAAAAAGAAAAAAAAAGTTTTGATTATTTTTTTTATTCAGGAAAATGGGAAAGAGCTTCTATAAATGTGCCAACTACATATATATATATATATATATATATATATAATCTGTTAAACGATTAATCGCATCCAAAAGAAAAGTTTGTGTTTAAATAATATATGTGTGTAGTGTGTATAATTATTTCGTATATATAAACACACACATATATGCATGTATATATTTTAAAAAAATGTGTTATTAATATATCAAACATTTATATGTATGTACATAAATTTGTGTATATATATATATATATATATATATATAAAATATATACATGCATGTGTGTGTATTTATATATACAAAATAATTATCCACACTACACAAACATATAATATATATACACAAACTTTTATTTTGGATGTGATTAATCGCGATTAATCGTTTCACAGCCCTAATATATATATAAATTTGTTATTATTATTGTCTCTGAGAGATAATCTTCTTCTCTTTAACAAACCAAAACTATCAATTTCTCCTCTGCATGTTCCATTCACTCAAACCAGTCACATACACAGACCAGGCCAAAAAAGGCATTTCTTTAAGGGTGGCTGTACTGTCTCACAAGTGACTCAGAGAATCATGATAATGGTTAACAGAGCCTTAAATCTACAGCCAAACAAACCCACTAAACACAAGCCAGGGCCTGGAGTGGCCAGCAGCTGTTGGGAGGAAGCTCTCTGAATCACAGGGACAACAAAACAATGGCACTCTTTCAGCCATGCCCACATACTCATCCTCTCCAGTGCTGAACGCTCCTGCGCTTTTTGCTCTAATCCAAACACCCCAGGTTGATGGGAGGTGCGAACATGTGACCGAGGGCTCACATGAGGCCAGATGCCTTGTGTGAGTCAGGCGAGTGTAAAAGTAAAGGTAACATAAGTCAACACACAATTACACATTCGCTTAGATCAACAAGGCTCTTAACCAGACTGGAACTGTAAACCAACCGCACTTGACCATGTGGCAACTACTTTTCAACATCATGCTGTTTATTTTATTCTGCCGTCATTATCATGTATAAGTCATAATGCAACCTTTCTTAAATTGATCTCATTCATGCACCTTCCTTTGCACTTTGTTAGATATTTTATCTTCCATTTGCAATTTGTTTGAAACGCCTTCTGGCGTTGCATTAAAATAGAACAGTTCTAAGAACTATCTAAGCACCCTGTTTCCAATTAGTTGCTGTATCATGTCCAGGCAAGACACTGGAGAGATGGGATCATTTAAGTAGGTTAATCAAAAGCATCAGGGCATGGCCAGTGATAGGGCATGTTTCTTGTTTCTGTATAGGTTACTGGGTCAAGCAGGAGGAGTATAGTATGATTCAACTGTTCCAGCTCAAAAGATCCAATTCAAATACATTCATATTTATCTTTGAATTGCTCATGTATTAAAACAACAAAACGTCTTGGAATATAGTGCACGAGTCAAATGGACTGTTTTTCCATCATTTTCAGATTTTTACTCTCTTTTTGACTGGCTATTCACTTCATTGAATGAAAAAGAGCAATATTTACGTCTTGTTTAGCATCTCTTTATTGTGTATTTGAGCTGGTTGGCTGGTCTTCCAGCCTGATAATTAGGCTATGGTTTTAGAGGGGTTTTGGCCACTTCTTTAGATGGTCAGGCTGGTCTTAGCTGGTTTTAGTGGGGTTTTGGCCACTTTAAATAGTCAGGCTGGTCTAAGCTGGTTTTGGCCACTTCTTCAGATGGTCAGGCTGGTCAGGTAGGGCAGCTGACCAACCACCTAAAACCAGCTGAAAACCAGCCAAGCTGCTTTTTCCCCACCAGCTGTAGAAAAAGTAAGTCATAGGCTACAGGTTTGAAATAACATAACGGAGAAAATGATGACAACATTTTCATTTTCAAGACTGATCTCTGAATTTTCAAGAGCTGACATGAGGCAAGTGCAAACTCAAAGAGTAAAAACAAAATCGAATTTAAAGAGCTAAATCATTGTGTTACCTCATAACTTCTTCTTACTAATAAACGATTTACACATATATTGGTTTAATTAGATCTATTATTATTATTATATTTTTGGACCCTAAAAATGAATGGCACAACGACTCCTGTATGTCAGACTGCTGCTTCCCTCTACTGGATTACCAAGTGAATTGTTTGCAATGAGACTGAATGTATGTATACAAATGAAAATCATCACCCTAAATCGGTCATTTTTAAAAATGAAATGAAAATTGTATGTGAAATTACTATAACAACTGTAATCAAAAACAGCAAGTGCATGGTCCATCCTAATCATCGAGGTATAGCACCTTAAAAACGCCGACTGTGCAACCAAATAATAACAACACCAAAAATAGTCACTAAAAAGGAATTTCGTTTAGTTAAACTTAATATTAGAAACAGGATAAGTGAACGTACCTGAGCACGCCGCGTTCACCGCTGAACTCCAAACAATCGCTGGTAATGGACGGGGGCGCCATCTTACGGCAGGAAGAGTTGGCAAGCTAGTGTCAAATCACCCACATCTTAGCTTACATCCAATTTAATTGAAACTAAGCATATAAACATAATACTTTTCATAGGTCATCTTTAAGAAAAGATAAGGCTGCTCTAAAGTGCGTATGCACTTAATATTAGAAACAGGAAGTCATTGAACGTACCTGAGAACGCTGCGCTCACCGCTGAACTGCAAACAATCACTGGTAATGGACGGGGGCGCCATCTTGCGGTAGGAAGAGTTAGCAAGCTAGTGTCAAATCACCCACATCTTATCTTACATCCAATTTAATTGAAACTGAACATGTAAACATAATACTTTTCATAAGTCATATTTAAGAAAAGATAAGGCTGATCTGAAGTGCTTATGCAATGGCTTCACCACTTGCTCCAAATTCACTGTACAGACAAAAGGCCACATAACGGCCTTCTAATGTGACAGATCTGACCACTTCTGTCCCTTTCTATTAGAAGCTGCTCTAGTACTGCTATGTGTGTTGTTTTAAATACAGCATCAGATTAGCAGTAAACTTTGCCACTCCCTACTGAAAAAATAAATAATTAAAAGGCTAAAACCACCCTAAAATGCTTGGGTTGTTTTAGAGGGGTTTTGGCCAGCTTTTTTTTTTTTTTTTGTAACAGGCCATTCTGGGAGACCAGCTAATACCAACCAACCAGCCCAGAATGGTTTTAGCTGTGTTTTTTTTCCCCAGCAAGGACTGCGACAGGTTTATATTTTTATAATTCGATTAATAATTAATACATTTCCATTCAGAATTTCAAGTTTCTTTATTCAGAGAATTCAAGTTTGAATTTATCAAATTTCACATTTAGATAGAATTAGATATAGGCCTGTTAGTTGTAAGATAGTTATAAGACCTAATTTGAAATTTTACATAAAAAAAAAAAAACATGACAAAAGATATTGACCGGAACTTATGGAATGATCATAAATAGAAGCAATTGTATGAATGTATTATTTTAAATAATAAAATAAAACACACAACAAAATGCCAAATTATTTTTTTAATTACACAAAGACAGACACACATTTCAGTCAGGAATTGTGGCTTTCTGTGCAAACAGCAAATGTGCGCTTTTAATGCTGATTCAGACCCTCTTCCATTTGGCAAAAAACACTTACAGTTTTCCAAGAGACAACAGCTGCACCACCATTCAGGCAGCAAACTATTCCACACAGACCAAGCACTTACTTTTCACAGACTTCAGCAACTAACTTACTTTAACTTTCACAAAACACATACAAAGTCAATGAGATTCATCTAGTGCACCCAGTGCTCTTCAGTTCTCCAAAATGCATTTGCTCAGAAAGTCACAAGATATCCAATATGGACGAGTAACTTCATTTGACACTACTAGAAAAACAACTTTAAAAAAAAAAAAGAAAGAAGAAAAGTATTTCTAAAAGTGATAATGAAGTGCGAGCATCCTTCATTAGGATAAAGATCAGGCACAAATGCCACAAATCATACAAACATCTTCCATTATTACAAGTCTTAAAAATAGTTTAAAAAGTTTTTGAAACAGTTGATGGGTTTGAGATTATTGCACATCAAAAACAACTAAAAACAAGTGCAGAAAGGAAACAAAAATAGATTAATGTGCACATATAAAAGTTAAATTAAACACTCTAAAACTGAAATGCATGAAAACATTTAAATATTGCAATTAAAATAATGTGATCTTTATTAAAATTATATTAAAATATATTATCTTAACATAGTCACTTAGAAAAAAATGACCTAAATCACTTTATGCATCTTTCTATTCAGCTTTAACCTACCACTGAATATTAGCTACATTAAAGCTTGTATTTGTAGGTTGTATTTAAAACAAATGTGTTCATCCACCTACATATAGATGTTTCCTCCCATTTCAAAGCAAAAATCTTTGAATAAACTGGCAGCTTTTTATTGCAACTTCCCTGGGTCTTCCTTCCTTCAGTTTTAACGGGTTAAAAATGTTGTAGAATTCTACGGTTTCCTTGTTATTAGTCAATGACACATTATTGAGTGAGATATTATCATAACTTGAGTGCTTCAAAACTCAATTCTGCATCCTTCAGTCTGTTTTACAATTTATCTGAGCATTCTTCAGCAGTTGTCCACATCAGCTCTTTGTTTGCTATTTTGTGAGTGTGGTTATGTAGTCTCTGTTCACCGTTCACAGTTTCATGTATTACACCACCATGTTATGTGTTGTCATTCACGTTACTTGCGTCCCTTCGGTACAGCTCCAGGACTCCAGGATGAACCAGGCACTCTGCTGACATTTTTGTAAAGCTGCCGAAGCACAAAGTCATAGTTGGCAGTGGTGCACATGGCATAGAACACGTTGGCTTTGTCTGGGATCAGCAACTCTAATATAACACAAAAAACAACAACATATGTACAGTAAATGTTATTGAGTGCTAAATAAATATAACAGAAGAATTGCTAACATTTAAACTAAAATTAACGGGATAGTTCACCCAAAAATGATTATTTTGTCATTAATTACTCACCCTCATGTCATTCCAAGCCTGTAAGAGTTTCGTTCGATATTTTTGATGAAATCTAAAGGGAGATTTCTGTCCCTCTGTTGACAGCTACGCAACTATCACCTTGACTCTTCAAAAGAGATCGTAAAACTAATCCATATGAATCGAGCAGTTTAGCCGAAATTTTCTCAAGAGATTTAATCGCCCTATGATGAAAAGTCTTTATGAAGGGACAGAAATCGCTCAGATTTCATTCAAAAGATTTGGACATTTGTGTTTCGAAAATTACCGATTGTCTTATGGGTTTTGGAACGACAGGTGATTGAGTTATTAATGACAGAATTTGATTTTTTAGGTGAACTAACCCTGTTAAAAATAACAGCTATTTTAAAATATTAATAGATACTGTAATGATATAGAAATAATACTAAAATACTTGAATGTTCTTTCAAGGTCATACATAGAATCAAGCAGCTCACCTTTGTCACTCGAAAGAATTTGTGTGAGACTAAAATCCTGGCAGTTCATCTCCTCCAAGTTGTGTTTCTCCAGTGCTCTCTGAATCACCTGAGCTGTCTTGTCCTGACTGGTTATCTAAAGATAAAGAGATGATTCAGTTTCAAGACTTTAGAAATCACTGGCCCTGACAACTGAGTAAAAAGAGCATTAACAGACATCTTGCTAAAAGAACTGTAAAATGAAAAAAAAAAAGAGACCAAAACTGTAAAATAAAGACCAAAAGAAGACAGCAGAATTCTAGGACCATGAGCCAGCAACTGTTAAAGCAGCATTATGTTACTTTGAAATTTTGCTCTCGGGGTCCCCCTACAGTTGGGAAACAGTATTGTCTTCTACTATTGTCGTAAAATCTGCCATGGTTACACTAGGGCAGTGTTTCCCAACCCTGTTCCTGGTGGCACACCAACACTGCGTGTTTTCTTTGTCTCCCTCATCAAACACACCCGATTCAACCCATCAGCTCATTAACCCACCTGATTATGAGCTGATGGGTTGAATCAGGTGTTTTTTGATAAGGGAGACAAAGAATACACGCAGTGTTGGTGTGCCGCCAGGAACAGGGTTGGGAAACACTGCACTAGGGAATGCACGCGTGCATTTGTTGACAAGCGATACCCCCGAACTCTGCAGAAGGAAGGAGTTCTCACATATTGGGCAGACTGAAATGTCTTCATCCCAGGTGCATTGGCATATATTTCAGCATGTCTTATGAATATAGTTTCATGGGCTTTATTTTTTTTTTTCAAACGTCAAAAGATCGTGTAGCTCACGTTTACAAGCCAGCGTCTTTATAATAACGTTAACCTATTGGCTACTGTTTTACATAATGGATATGCTAATTCAATTCAATGTTTGTTGGTAGATAATAGCCATATCGTTAATATTATAATATCAAGCTACCGTAGATGAATCTGCGAATTTGAAAAATCGATTTGCATTATAGCCTGAGTCAAGACACTTTCACCACAAAAATAAGTAAAAAACATGACTATCAGCCTGCAGACATAGGATAGTTATCCTGACCGATTATTTTGTTCGTCTAATCATGTATTATTTACTTGCAAGAATGTAGCCCCTACCAAACTCAGTAATCAGTATACTTTCACGCCTCGAGCTGGCACGAGCTGCCCGCCCCGGCTCTACGGGGATGCTTGAGTGTGTTAAGTGCCCTCAAAAGAAAGCAATTGTTTCTGACGCACTTCCCATTTGCTAGGCGGGGGAAGATTGACGCACCGGACCAGAGTCGGGGGACTTAGTTGCGTTTTTGTGGAGTAGTATTACGAATTAATTTTTTAAAAATAGTATTAGTATGAAAAAAAAAAATCACTTGTTCGCTCATTTTTGCGTTCCCTATGGATGAGTGGCGCCAGCGAGCTAACGCTGGACCAATATTGATCCTCGTCCAGCCTTTTATTTTGCCACTCTCCCTTTTTCTCTTTCTACTGTCCTCCGACAAACCTTTGGCTTCTTGGTTACTTGCTGCTTCAGCCATGACAACATACAGAGGTTAAAAAATAAATAAAAAAACGCTAGTTGGGCTCTCGCGTCGGAATTTGAGGAAGTGGCGTATGCCGTGAAGCAGTCGAATTTTGTAGTTCTGTAGTGCCAGTAAAAGTGATACAAACACTGTCAGGCTATGGCAGACCTGTCATTCAACCTATTGTAAGTCGATGTACCATCTCAAGGGTTTTGAAAAAATATTATAAATGTTGAAAAAGTTACATAGTGCTGCTTTAAAGCCAACTTACCAAAATACTTTTATAAATGTTTCCACTGTTCCCAAATTCCACGCTGACTCTGATAATACAAGTATCGGCAACTTGCTTGTTGTACATTGGATGAAGGGCAGCGTGCAGCTGGAGAGAAGGAGAGGATGACGAAGATGATGAAGAGGTTGCAGATGAAGAAGGCGAGGGGCTGTCAGACAGATCTGCCTGTAGGGATCTTCGAAAGGAGGTGGGCGGAGTCACAGAGATGGTGGGTGTGTCTAATGAGATGTCGTGACAGGATACAGACTGTGACTGTGAAGGGATGGAGAAAGACTATTTACCCCAACACATCTAATTATCAATAAGAACAGGTCTGTTAGGATCACAGCACAGGGTTTTCAGATAGTAATAGTTCACCCCAAAATGAAAATGATCCCATTTACTCACCCTCAAGCCATCCTAGGTGTACTGTATATGACTTCCTTCTTTCAGACGAACACAACCAGAGTTATATTAAATAATATCCTGGCCTCTTCCCAGCTTTGTAATGGCACTTACTAGTGTCTGAGTTTTTAAAGCAGGTAGGTTAATAAATGTCTTTTTACAAAGCGATGGGTTTTTGTCAGAAACTTACCCATATTTAAAACTTTATATACTGTAATCACTGGCTCGTATGGATTACTTTTATGATGGATGGATGCGCTTTTTGGAGCTTCAAAAACTCAGACACTATTCAGTGCCATTATAAAGCTGTGAAGAGCCCAGAATATTATTTAATACACTGTAACTATGATTGTGTTCGGCTGAAAGACGGAAACCATACACACCTTTAAATTAAGATAAATTATCCCTTTAAAGCTGTCAATGGAGGGTCAGAAAGCTATCAGATTTCATTTGTTTTTACGAAGATGAACGAAAGTCTTATAGGTATTGAATGAGGGTGACAAATGATGACAGAATTTAATTTTTGGGTGAACTATCCCTTAAGTGGCACAAGTGACGATATGAGGTGCATCAGAAAGCCTAATCATTCAGATGAATCTGACTTTTAATCTGGGTGTTTAGTAACACAGATTGCAAGCGATAAATATTTCAGTAATTTATGTAAAACTTCACAGGCTGGCAGTGTTGTTATCTAATACACTGTGTTAGATAACAACCTCACTACAGCTCTTTGTTGATAGTGCAAACATGAATTATATGACTGCAAGGTTAAGGCGAAACAAATCAGTCACAAACACCTTAATGGGTTTTCAAACCCAAAGGCTACAGTATAAACAAATGGTCAAATAGGTTTCGTGTTTATATTAGGCCTGTCAGATTCACGACTAGTGATTTAGTTTAATTAATTATAAATAAATAAATAATGCAATAAAAAAAGAAAACACATAATTATATCCCCTGACCCACATCCACCGAAAGACACTGAAAACACAACAGACGTCATGCAACAGCTAAAGACATCCGTCTGACGCATGTGTACATCAGTGTTATTTTAGTTTTATTAATATAATACTGTAGTACTTATTTTGTATTTTGAATTTTATTTTTATATTTTCAGTTTTCTTTTGCCAATCCTGTTTTGTATGGAAGCTTGTATGTGCCACAGTACAACAAAATAAAAATAAAAAAAGATAATTGCGACTTTTTTTCTTGCAATCCTAAGTTTATAACTCACAATTAACCTTTTATCCCTCACAACTGCAAGTTTATAACTCACAATTTTGACTTTTTTCCGCTTCAGTATTAGTTTTATTAATTTTACTACTTTATTATTATTACTTATTTTTTTTTGTTTGTTTATATTTTTTCACATTTTACATTTCATTTACATAGTTTTTCATCAAATATTTATATTTTATTTTAGCTTCATTTCAATGACCCAAAACAATTTTTGTTTGAATACTCTGGTGTACAAACACATACACAAAAATAGTCATCTACAAAAGCATCAATATCCGGTCACATTTTGTCAATTCAGTGCTTTTATCCGCCGCAAAAACTTAATTTCTCAACAAATATATATGCCATTGTGTGCTACTGATTAATACAAAATGTAATTATTTTGATTTAACCTTTTTAATCGATTGATAGCCTAAGCTTATATTAAAGGAATAAAATATTGTAGCAACTACATGCATGTTTTTTTTAATGCTGAGTTGTTACCCGTACTTTGTATCCAAGAGGTGAGAGGTTGGGGCTGCTGAGATCTTCCATCTCTGAGCCACTGGAGCCAGAGGATGATACACTGATCTGATCCGCAAGAGTTTTCTTTGAGACGTTCTCACTGCCAGACAGCAATCTGCAGTGAGCAGAAGAGAAACACATCACATAAAACAAGCAAGTTAGCAAAACTGGTATGACATTTCTTCTGTTTACAGTACAAACTGAAGTTATAATTCAAATTGAAAGTGGCACTGACATTGTTTTGTTCATGTTTAATGCTGTAAAGCTATCAAATGCTATATAAAGAGCTGGTGCAAATATATCCACATCCTTATGATCAGATGCTTTCTTAACTGCCGTATACTGTCATTTTTGTTGTGTTTATTTTGTTATTAAAAACATCACATATTTATATATTCATCTAAATTGTCAGTGTCAACATTGTGGGTGGCAATGGGATGTTCGCTTACAGTATATTGCTGCAAAGGTACTTCAAACTTCCATTTACTCCTGGGCGAAAAACTTCAGTATGCCATCAGTATATTGGGGTCTTGAGTCCATAAAATGGAAACCGATGCTTTGAAACTGTGAATAACAACACTCACGAGGTCAGTTTCTTGGAGATGAGCCGGTGGCTCCAGTGGTTGGGAGAGCCTGGACAGGGGTCAACTGGTGGCTCCAGCTCTCTTGACAACTCATAACTGATGAGAAAGAAAGACTGTTGACTATTGATATGTAAATATCTGAGATGCTGAGATGAAGTACTCTGCCTTAACAAAGTCATTTCTTTTTAATCTAAACCAACATTCTTAGCAAGGAAATGATCGCACTGAGAATGATCATCAGAATGTGCAAGCGGCGCTTCACCTCTTCTGTTCAGTAAGGGGCATGCAGCTGTTGATCCAGGAAATGATATGAGGATGTGATTGTAGAGTGTACTGAGCACATGAAGCCTGCAGCTGCCGGATCTGAGACAGAATCTCAAACTCCTGAATACAGAAAGGAATGGAGACACAGAACGCCATGCGTGAACGCTAGCTCTGGACCAAAACCTAGTGAGCTTCTTTTCACTAAAACAAAATTTAAGACAATTGTACTCACTTTTCTACGCTTCTCAAAGTTGATGAGACCTCCCTGTGAGCACAAAGAGGAGAGTTATATTTAAAACAAAAAAACTTCAGAGTGGGAACTGAAATTGAAAACACTGTCTGTGACATGAATTAAGGTCAAAAAACAATTCTCACCTGTACATTATCACTTAGTGCTGTGTCCAACATGGTGAGAACTGTCAGATAAGTGCCCAGGTACGGCACCTCACCGTTGGGGGGGTTCTGTCAGACAAAAATACACTATTAAATAGTCTCTTATGATCACCAAGGCTGCATTTATTTGATTAAAAACATTATAGTAATATTGTGAAATATTATTACAATTTAAAATAACTGTTTTCTATTTTAATATTTAATTCTTGTGATGGCAAGCTGACTTTTCAGCAACATTACTGCAGTCTTCAGTGTCACATGATCCTTCAGAAATCATTCTAATATGCTGATTTTGTACAACAAACATTTCTTATTGACATCAATGTTGTAAAAATAATTTTTTTCAGAATTCTGTAATGAAGAAAACATTCATTTAAAATACAATTTTTGTAACAATGTAAAAGTCTTTACAGTCACTTTTGGTCAATTTAATGCATCCTTGTTAAATAAAAAATATTAATTTCTTAAAAAAAAAAGAAAATCTTACTGACACCACACTTTTGAATGGTGCTGTATACTATATTTAAACATGAATCCACAAACTGTTTTCAATTAAATTTCCTCTTATAAATGCACACACATCTTTTCAAGTATACATCATCAAGTATAAATATCTTACTTAGATGAACACACCATTGATGAACCTTTATTAATGATAAACTTTACTCCATCATACTGTGTCGGCTGACATTATGGTAATACCCCTTTGAGTGATTTAATTAATGAGCTGGCAGATTCATATTTAGACACATTTTCATGTTGAAGATTAAATTACTTGAATCAAATTATCTGGTGCAGAAGCATACATCCAAAACAGGGTAGTTTTACATAGCAACATCAGCTTAATGATCTTTTAAAAGCAAGTTGTGCCAGTGACCTTAAATAAGACAAATGCACAACATTCAGCAGGGCCTTGTTATTCTTAAAGCGACTCTAGTGAATCTTACCGTGTGCTTTGATGTAGGACTAAGTCTGGGAGACTTTGGTGCAGAGTGAGTGTCTACCTCTGCTGACTGGTTTTCTTCCTAAATCAATCACAAATAAATAGATAAGGGGACATTTGGTATTGGAAATGCAAACAGCCCGAAACTCTGATTTAGATAAGCATAACCGAGCATAAGATGCACTTAAAAAAACATTTACATAAATCACTTTACAAGGCACACAAAGCCAATATCCCACACCCGAAGAGATGCCACAATTCAAGATTAAGCCCATTTACAGAACATGATAAAGATTAAGGTTAAAGAGAAGTGGGACAGACTACTACGAGCCACCACCATAGTTAACAACAATTAATGTTTTGTTTGTTATACATTAAACACAGCAGAACATTGTGGGATGTTTTGCCTCCTTAATGGTATCTTTGCCTACAGCATGATTCTGCATTTTTTTAACCTCATCTTCCTCCAGCCCCTATTGATTTAGTCTTTGCATGCAAGCTAGAGTGAAAGGGGCTGTGGAAAATATTAAATGTTGCTAGGTAGCATCTTTTAAGATAGTAAAAAGGGCATAAAAGCAGCCATGCTGAGATCACTTCATAATCTTATCAGAGATTCAACAGTGCTATCAGCTCTTACTCATAATGTTAAATCATTAGAGGCACCTGTTTGCACATTGAAGTCCAAAGTGTTAGATATTGATGAAATTTTTTTTTTTGGGACAGTTATTAATATTTTTATTCACTAAGGACTAAGTAAATTAATCAAAAGCGACAGTAAACACATTTATAATTTTACACAAGATTTCTATTTCAAATGAATGCTTTTCTTTTGTTCTTTCTATTAAATCACTGATAATAGTAAGAAGTTTTTCTTGAGCAGCAAATCAGCACATTAGAATGATTTCTGAGGGGATAATACAACACATTCTCATCCCAAGACGTCATCTAACTGATGCTTTTGACCATACGTCAACATCCGACGTTTTAGGGCACCCTTTAACGTCAGTTAGATGATGCTATCCTAGGGCGTCATCTAACTGACGCTTTACCTTTAGGCGTCACATAGATGTCGGATGTTGACGTATGGTCAAAAGCGTCAGTTAGATGACGTCTTGGGATGAGAACGGGCTGGATAATAAGACACTTAGGTCTCGAGTAATGATGCTGAAAATTCAGCTTTGCTTCACTGGAGTAAATTACATTATAAAATAGCAAACTAAAATATATATTTTTTAAACATAATAAAAATTTCATACCGAGCCCAAATGTTTTAATGGAAGTGTACGTCAAACTTTTTACAAGATAAGATAAGATAAGATAAGATAAGATAGTACTTTATTGTCCGTGTACACGGAAATTTGTCTTGCAACCAAAACTCCAACAATTATAACACACACAAACTAAAAACAAAACATACAGTCATCAATAAAAAGTATACCAAAGTACTTAAATAATATTATGGGCACTCTGCCCTGCAAGAGTGTTCTTCAGCTACAAGTGGGGGGAAAACTATCGCTTCTTTCCCCTCATGCGTTGATTCAGCATCGATATTGACAGAGGAACAAATGAGTGTTTGTATTTGTTCTTCCTGCACTCTGGGACCCTATAGCGCCTCCCAGATGGCAGGAGTTGATACTCCTTATTCAGCACATGAGAGTAATCTTGGGAGATTTTATGAGCCAAGCGTACAGTATGTATTTCATGACTTTCAATAAACGCCTTCTCAACCGACTGTCCCACCAATTTTGAACAAATTCCCAGAAGCCGAAAAATCCTCGCCTTCAATTGAGCTGAGAGGCCCCCAAACCACACTGCTCCACCATACTGCAGAATGCTTCGAATAGTTGACACAAAGAAAAGAGACAGGATTTCGCTACTCGCTCCGAATGACCTAAGTCTCCTTAAAAAAATAAATTCTCTGCTGTACCTTGCTGCAGATGTAGTCTACATGATAGGTCCAGGAAAGGTTGCTGTCCACATACACTCCAAGATATTTGAATGAAGATTTCTGTTTTATGATTTGATTGTGAATAATTAATGGTGTAATGTGGCACTCATGAGGGGTGCCGAAGATGATCTCCTCCGTTTTCTGTGTATTGAGGATGAGGGCGTTTTGATCACACCACTTAACAAGATTGTTCACTGTTTGCACATAAAGTTCCGCCCCTTCCCCCTCCTTCATCAAAGCTACGAGCGCAGTATCATCAGAAAATTTGATGATATGATTAGATTAGGGTAGACAACAGATTTAAAACAGGCAAACCTGTGAAACGTACCTCTACAAGGATCTCTCGATTGATCAGCACACAGTTCTCGTCGGGAAAGGTGTCGCACAGCTGATCAAAGGCAGTCATATTCTCCCTGAAATTGCACATTTTATGGATATACATTTACTACTATGTATTAAGCAAACTGTGTGCTTAACATTTCACAACAGGTTTAATGGCTGTTTCAGGATGTCAGGATCAGAAAGCACCTGCTGATTGCCGCCCATGTTTTCTTTAGCCGGTAGACAGCGTTAGACTGAAGAGCAGATAAGATGGCTCTTAGAGAGGAGAAGTTTCTCAACTGACGGCACTCCTGTCATAGAAGAACAAATCAGCTTAAAGAAGATATATTAACTTAACAAATACACTGGATCAAACAAGCACCAAGACAAAATGATAAACCTGTGCCATTAAAATTCAAGTCAACAGTTCAATTATTCTTGCTCTGCAAGATTCTCTTCAAACTGTAGCTCTGTCACGACAGTAACTTTAGCAGAGTGTTCAACTCAATTCACATTTATTTGTATTACTGTATCCTCCTAATGCCGATCATAGTGCTCTTTGTGAAAACTGTGCAAAAAAAAAAAAAACCATAATGATTTGCACTCCGATACATTTCAGAATGCAATCATGCATTTAAACATAATTGCTTTTTCATAGTTTTCACATGATGTCACACCCTTATAGGAACACCCACCTAGAGGGCAAATGAGGGTTTTCCTCCATTCCTCCTGCCAGTTATTTTTACCAGCTTTTAACCAAATACTAATGTAGTGAGACAGTGATATTAAAAAAACAAATTCAATATGAACCTTATTGATTATGCATACTATGTACAAGCAAGCAGATGAACCCAAAATATAAATGCAACAGTTTCCCCTTAAGCGTTTTTACACAGAGAACCATTATAAAGAAGATGCCAGGCTCATCTGCATATACTATGCATCATCAATAAGGTGTAAACAGAATTTGATGTTATAATATCACAGTTTTAGTACATTTACACACTTTAAGGCCTGGTGTCACAGACAGGGCTTAGATTAAGCCAGGATTAGGACATTTAAGTAGCTTTTATAAACATGCCTTAGAAAAAAAACACTACTGCAATCAAACACTAAGTGCATCTTGAGACAAAACAATGGCACTGACATATTCACAAGATATGCAAGGTGTTTTCAGTTAAAACAGCTCAAAAATGCATTTTAGCCTAGGATTAGGTTTAAACCCTGTGTGTGAAAATAGGGGTAAGTGTTTTTCCGCTGTTTCCAGTGCCCAAAACTTGCATTTGATCACGTTTTTGTTTTTCTTCTTTTGAAAGGTGATCTTAATATTTGTGGCATGAAACAAATGGAAAATTTGCGAGCCTGTTCTGCAGTTTAATGGATGTTTTGCTCTACAGATCTAAAGATGTTTTGAGCCAAATACACACCTGAGCCACAGAGATCCACTTCTCAATAATCATTGCCCTGTGTGTAGGGCTGCTACGACCGCAGGATGGGGAGCCGGGAGAGGATGTGGCAGAAGGGCACAGCAGAGAGGTGATAACGCAGTTAGTGACGGCATTGAACTGGGCAATGGTGGCACGGACCGTGGGCGCTAGATTCCGGTTCTCTTTCTTGTCCCTTTGAGACCAAATGCAGCCGAGGCAGTGAAACGGAACCACTTTGACAAAGAGTTCCTGAGAAAGAAATGGAAATAGATGAGTAAAAGTAGGCCACAAATAAAAAACTAGCCTCAGTGTGAAAAACTAGACACCTACAGCATCTAATATTGTGAGCTGCTCAGCTATGTCTTGAGCTGGGAAGGCCAGTACATCCCCCATCTCTTCTGTGTCCCGTCTGTCCATGGTGTGTTTAGTTTCTGGACTCTCTAGGGCTGCAGCAGTGGCATCTACTGATGTACCCATGTGCTTGTCTGTTGATCCATAAGAAGTTATTTAGCACTGATTTTTGGGGTGTATGTGCATAAAAGCTAAATTAGCCATATTTTCAAGGCTTGCCTTCAGTCTGAAATTTTCTGAGAAGAGCATCGGCTTGATTAACCAGACGTCTGAAACAAAGGCGATGACGCAGATGAACACAGAGCAGCCGGAGAGCCTGTTGATCCGGAGAGTCCCGAAGGTCCTCGTGATATTCGTCTAACCACAGCCGGATCAGACAGGGCAGAGAACTACATACACACACGCTTTGTTAGCACCTTATTGTTTCATACCAATTATTGAAGCTTATGGATTTAGGGTTAACCCAGATGAAAAACCAGTTTCAAAACTTTAATTCAAAGGTAATTATAAAACAATATTACATGGCTCTCTGAAATGCTTGATTCTGGTTAGTCACGGTATTCTGAGGTCAGAAATTCCTCCATAATTGCTGTTGAAATGCTGTATAATCACGATCGCTCGTACAGGTAATTGAGGCTGGCTCTTTTTTCATGTTTCTCGTATCACACCTCGGACACTTTCTCTCTTAGCCTGGTTAAAACCAGACCATTCTCAGTTGTAACTGAGTTATGGTCTGGCAAAGCATCATAGGCAACTCATTTCCAGAGGGGCGTCACCAATGGACGTCGGGGATAGACCTAAAACCAATCAGAGCGATGAAGGAGATGACGTATGCAGAAACATCTCCGAGTGTTGTTCTTTGCTTGGTTTTTAACAAAAAGGAAACGTTCAAATTGCATAAAACGGACGCGATAGCTGATTCGAACGAGTGATGTTCGACGGCGGCATCCATTTTTGTAATGTAGGCTACAAAATCCCAGCGCTGTCGTCATTGTGTAAATCCTGCCCCAACGTTTCTGATTGGTGCCTCGATTTCGACGGATTGGAAATGGGCTTGAATGAGCTCTTTGCCAGACTAACTTTCAGAGCAAATCTAAATTTGCTGGAAGTTGTCTGGGTTTTCCCAGGCTAGTTCTCTCTGGTTAGATTTTAAAACGGTTTCTTCTCAAATCAATATTATGTGGCAAGTAGTCATGTAACAAGCGTGATAATTTACATCCACCCGGTTGTTATTACAAAATAAACCCTTCAGGGAAGATCACAGTGTCAAGGTTTACATCAGGGGTGTCCAAACTTGGTCCTGGAGGACCACAGTCCTGCACAGTTTAGCTCCAACACACGGTGTTAGTATGCCAAGTAAGACCTTGATTAGCTGGTTCAGGTGTGTTTAACTGGGGTTGGAGCTGAATTCATCAGGACAGTGGCCCTGCATGAGTAGGATTGAACACCACTGCCTATTTGACCACAGAATATAACAAACTGATCAGAATCAAGACTACCAGGACGTTTCTGGAGATTCACCTTACCTCCTGACAGAGACACTGTTGTCCAGATTGGCGACCATGTCCTCTCTACAGAGACAAATAAATAAGTCCAAAGTTTATAATCAAAACATTCCTAAAACCCTTCAAAGACGCTTAAGGATTCTGAACATTGCAACAATTTCTGTTCATGGTTTTAACACAAATGTGTCACAAGTGCTCTTTCAAGGCCTAATGCCTTTATTTATGCTTCAACAGAAGACAAAGAGTACTCGATGTTCAACAAAAGAGCTTCTGACGCCTCTGACTAGTCAAGTGAAACCTGTTCTACAATGTGAGGTGTTCTCCTCCATTCCACTGGATCACTGATATGTATGGTGTGACTATCATACTGCCACAGTCATCATGTGTCTCATGGGAAACACTTAGCCTCTCACAATGAAATTGGAAATTTGGGCTTCCCTCTTCATTTGAATGTTCACGGTCACTGAGCCCTACGTAAGCAGAGTAAATATCATATTTAAATACCGTACATGAGAGATAGCCTTGTCAAAACTGACTTGATGTCATTGATAAGGTGGAAGCTGGCAGGTTCAGTATTAATTAGTTTTAATTATGTCTAAAAAAGTGCGTTTTAGATAAAACCACGCAATTATTATAATATAAGGCTTATTCCTTAGTAGAAATTGAATTATAAGTTATGATTTAAATTATTAAATCATAGAGAGCCCCTAAAGAAACAAGTTTATCAAAGGTGATGATAAAAATATGAGTTGGGGGAGATCTATTTTTAATGATCTCTAACGGAAAATGCAAAAACAATTGCATTTGTTTGCAATTGCAAGAAACTTTACGTTTTGTAGCAAATGCATTTGAATATAGTTTTTCTTCCCACCTTAATCTAGAATGCAAAGTGAAATGAGGGTTCATAATGTCAATTTGGGTAGAAAAACTTTTTTTTTTTTTAAATACACTATCGTTTAATAGTTTGGTATTAGATGGTTGTGAAAAAAGTATTTTATGCCTACCAATGCTGCATTTGTTTGATCAAAAATACAGTAAAAATAGAACTGTTATGAAATTTTGCAGTGCCATATGATCCTTCAGAAATCTATGGAAGCTTGTTTCCACCACTGAATAAAAAATAAAAAATAAATAAATAATTGCGAGATATGAAGTCAGAATTGTGAGAAATAAAGTCGCAATTGCGAGATATAATAAAGTCAGAATTTTGTGATATAAAGTCACAATTCTAAAAAAAAGGGAGTTTGCGAAAAATGGCGACTTTTTATCTCACAATTCTGACATCAAATTCTGAGAACTTTTTCCCCATCAGAATAGTTTAAATCTCATAATTCTGACTTTATAACTCATAATTCTTCTGACTTTATATCACGCAATTGCGACTTTATATCACACAATTCTGACTTTATATCACGCAATTCTGACTTTATATCACACAATTCTGACTTTATACCACGCAATTCTGACTTTATACCACGCAATTGCGACTTTATATCTCGCAATTCTGACTTTATACCACGCAATTCTGACTTTATACCACGCAATTGCGACTTTATATCATGCAATTCTGACTTTGTTTCTCGCAATTCTGACTTTATCCCACGCAATAGCGACTTTATATCATGCAAATCTGACTTAATATCTCGCAATTCTGACTTTATAACACGCAATTGCGACTTTATATCACACAATTCTGACTTTATATCACGCAATTCTGACTTTATATCACGCAATTCTGACTTTATATCACGCAATTCTGACTTTATATCTCGAAATTCTGACTTTATATCTCGCAATTGCAACTTTATATCACGCAATTCTGACTTTATATCTCACAATTCTGACTTTATATCTCACAATCCTGACTTTACATCTCGCAATTTTGAGAACTAAAGTCAGAATTGTGAGAAAAAAAGTCAGAATTGTGAGATGAAAAGTCGCATTTACCTTTTTTATTTTTCATTCTATGGCGGAAACAAGCCTCCATAGAAATAATTCAAATATGTTGATTTGCGGCTTATAAAACATTTTTTATTAACGTTGTAAACAGTCATGCTGCTTAATATTTTCTAGGTATTTTTTTCATTTTTTTACTCTGATGAACAGAAAGTTTAAAAAAAAATCTCCTCACTATCACTTTATCAATTTGATGAATCTTTGCTGAATGAAAGCATTAACTTAAAAAAAAAAAATCGTATTGACGCTAAAATTTTGAACGGTAGTGTTAATGTTAGCTTAATGCCCCTGACCACTAAACTCTTACATTGAAAGTCTGTGCTCACCTTTGAAACAGGAGTTCTATGAGAGTATTTGTGCAGGTAAAGGCTCTGTAGGTGGAAAGGAAGATTTGCGTGTAATCTGGGTCAGGGCACTCTGGGTTCACCAATTCTGTGACAAGACGCTCCAGAGTGGCTGCTTTAAGCCTGCGGACCTTCAGTGTGCGGTACTGCATGAAGCCAAAGGCAGAATCGTTCTCAGCGGCGTCAGCTGAGGGTTGGATGGGTTCTCGGTGAAGAGTGACCCCGTAGACGGCCCCATCTTCCACCTCCTCTCCCCACTCCTGCACTGGGTCCTGGAAAACAGATCATCAGGATAAACTAAATGAATGTTGAATTTGCAGCAGACTAATGGAAAAAAAATATGCACACATTGTAAAACTTGATATGATGCCAATTGCATTGCTATTTAACAAAGACAGAGCCATCATAAAATTCTATGCTGAAACCGCAGCATGTCATGAGATTTTAGAAGAAAAGAAACAAAAAGCAGAACTGTAGTGGACTTGTCCTGTTTCTGCAGTAAAATACACTGAAATGTAGGTCTTCAAATGAAAAAACAAACAAAAACAATGTATACAAAGCATTGACCTAACATTTCATGTGTCTAGGAGGAAATATACAAAACAGTTTATGGAAAAAACAGGCAAATTGTTATCCAAATTACAAGTCAGGAAGAGTGACTACACATTATCTTCACTGGCTTGAGAAGACAATACATTGTATATTGCATTTATGTTCTCAGCAGATGCTTTCTCAACAAAATACGTAAAACACAGATTATGCTATAATCAAATCCACCAAACATTTTTACGGTAACAGTAACACCACTGTTGAACGATGTCCACAAAAGAAGCCATTTTAATTTTTTAGGGAAAGAGGAGAAATCATTGTGGAAAACCTAGTTGATACCAAAAATACTCAAACAAAAATTACTTACAAAAATCCTCCCTGGTGGTAAAATGAAACCACGGTTATTTGCAAAGCAAAAACCATCCCTGAATGAAAAACAGCTGTGGGCGAATAAAAAACAAAACATATGGGGCTTAAACAAAGACAGACTGTGTGACACACTGGAGTAATTAAGTCCAGTGTTTTCTCTTTCAGAACAAGAAGGGTTGTTGTTGGCCTGATTGTTGACTGATTCAGATGTGACCAGCATTAGTTGAACTCATAACAACTCACTTGAGAACATATTTGCATAATGGTGTCTTCGGTCACTGATTCTTGAGACACGGGACACGAACATTTATTTATTGAAATCAATAACAGATTGTACTAAAATATTCTTAAAGTCTATTCGATTTTCTTTTGATTTATCAAAATAATGACTTTAGCTGTAAAACCACATATAACTACATTAATTTAATTGCACACAAAATAATAGACTAGCATTCAGAAGTGTGAGTTCAGTAAAAAAAAATAATATATTTTTACTTTGCATTACAATTTCAAAAGTCACAGTAAAGATATTCATGTTACAAAACTTTTCTATTTTAAAAAATGCTGTTCTTTTGAAGTTTCTATTAATAACAGAATTGTGAATTTTTTATCACAGTTTACAGAAAATTAACATTAATAATAAATATAAATGTTTCTCGAGCATCAAATCAGACGCTGATGCTAAGAATTCAGCTTTGACATCACATAAATAAATGACATTTTAAAATATATTAAAATAGAAAACGGTTATTAAAATGATTATTTCACCATATTACAGTTATACTGTACATACTTGAAAAATGACTCATCCCAAACTTTTGAACATAATGTAGGCTATATGAACTTTAAGAGAAACAAAAATCCCATCATTTAAGTGGGTCTTTAATAGCAACATCAGAAAAACAAATCTGTATTTAATGTATGTGTGACATGGAAAATAAGTAAGCCATCACAAGCCAAGTGGTGAACATGAAAAATATTGATTTTCACTTCAATATTGTTTTGTTCTACATTTCTTTGTGGCAATAGCTCTATCAATATCTCAGAATATACATAATATACAAAAACCACACATTTGGAAAAGGTTGTGCTTCCAAGTAACCCAAGGGCAGTCTGTCTAACTATTCCTCTAACCAACACATGAATTGTTGTGAAAATCACAAGTGCATTGTTCCCAGAAACTGCAGTCAAGCAAAACAGAGAGCTTTTTTTACAAGGCAAAGTCCGTGTCTCCTTTTAAACTGTGCCATGGAACAAAACACAGGATGATGGGAGAGGGAAAGCTGAAACTGTGAAACAGAACACAGGCAACACATCTTCAATCTACATGTGGGTTTGACTGAGAACAAACACAATATCTGTTCTATTGTGAGACTCCTGAGGGAAACTTGACCTGCACCACACCCTCCCCTGAGCCCTCATTATGTCGACAGCTGATTAATCGCTTTCCTAAAGCCAATATCGCATCTAATTGTAAAACCACTTAGTTTTGGTCAGTGACAAGATAAAGAAGTGATATGTCTAGAAAGAAAGATCCGGAAATACAGCATCTACAGCATTCAAGTGAGGAGAAAAATCCGACTGACTCAACTCCGCGCGACACACTGTCCAACAACACGCGTTTCCCAGTCTGATGCTGAAAGTTATTTCTCTTTAGTCATTCCAGTTTCTTAAAATCACATTCAACAGACTTATTGTCCTCAATAAAATAGCGTAACTGAATAAAGTGGCTTACCATTGTGAACTCCCATTTCCCCATGGTCTCTGTTCTTCAGCCGTACGATCAAGCAGTGTAAGCGGTCGCACTTTCCATTAGCGCAGCAAAAACTTTGGAAACTTTATTCCTTGGTCAGCTGGTGTTAAAGTTGACTGTCATGGTGTCTATAAGAGCTGCAGGGAATGAATAACTTTGCGAAGTTCGGTTTAAGTTAATCAAAAACTCCAGTGAAGTGAAGATAGTCAACTTACTGTTAATTTCATAACGACTACATTTATCATCAATTAAAAATATGCTTTCTGAAGTCTGTGACCCAAGAAAAGGATTATCATTATTATTATTATTATGTTGGAGTTTTGTTTTTTAGCTGTCTAAATAGCACACTGCACCTGTACAGTGCTTTAAAGTGCAGTGGGTTGGTCTCTCTACGTAGATAAATGTGTCTATATGACGTGTACTTCATACTTCACCATAGTATGAAGATCATCGAATCATACTATGGTGAAGGCTTGACTTATGAATATTAATTAGGTTGTGTGTCCAGTCCCATCAGTTTACCAAGCAAAATTGCATAGCTAATTTAATAGTTAAAGAAGGATTTATAATTGCAAGTGTCTATTTCAGAGTTTTTGGAGAATTTTGGGCAAAACAAAAAGACAGAGATTTTGGGGAATCAAACTAAATGTATTCAAAGTTACAAGTAGCAACTATCTATACATGAATTTAAACATAAAAATACTTATTTTTATGTTTCCCTTTGTAATTTAAAGAGGGGCCCAAAAGTCTGAGAACAAGAGAAAATCCTATGTAATTCCTTTTACGTCATGTGTCATTGTTTATGTCAAGGTTTAACTTTAATCTAAAATCCCAAAGTTGTCCTGATCAACTGGCAAATACCGAATCCCGTTTTATCCAGGAATAGTACAAATGACTCAGACAACACTATGCAGATCCTTAGATGAATGAGGGTGAACATCTTATAAGATACCCTTTATCAAACCCCATACACACAATGAGACAATGAGCAAATTGTTGGTTTCTGGGTACAGTGAGTTCATTAATGTCTGTCTGTTCCCTCTGACGTAGATCTGTGAATGTGCGGTGTCCTACAAAAAGCCCACCCCATATACAACACAACAATGGGTGACACACACACTATACTGAACTCTTATTGACAGACCACAATCATGCTAAAAGTATTTATGCATATCCACCAACAATACATTAATAAGACAGAAGTCACATGCTGATGTGTGCTGATTCACACACTCCAACAAACAGATCATTACATCATTTTAAATACATTTTTATTTATTTAAATATTTTGTTTTACCATCCAATTCCATGGTGCAAAACAGTCTGAACACCAGGTTAAATAGCTAACAAACACGAAAAAAGCTGCACCATTGCTGAAATACTTTTCATTTCTGACATGCTTAGTAAGATTCTGGTCGGGTAATAACTTTTAGTTTGCGTTTTGGTGATGGATTGTCAACTGCTGGTATTTTCAAGTACACTGTATTGAAAGACACTTTGTTCGGACAGCATGTGCTAAGGATGTCAAAGCCAGTTTAATTTTAACCTATGATCCATGTTGTTTACTACAGTCGACTGATCATGTAAATAATTTCTAACCATTCAGGATTGAGATGCTACACCTAAACCACCGTTGACCCTTACCCATAATTCTGACTGCTCTCAATATTTAAATGTTTACAGCAACATTTATTTAATCAAAATAAGTTATTGTGAAATATTATTACAATTTGAAATACATGTTTTCTATTTGAGTATATTTTAAAATGTAATTTATTCTTTTGAATGCAAAGATTCATTTTTACTCTTTAGTGTCACATGATCCTTCAGAAATCATTCTAATATGCTGATTCGTTGCTGAAGAAACATTTCTTATTATTATCATTGTTGAAAACAGTTGTGCTGCTTAATATTTGCATGGAAAACCTGGTAATTCTTTGATGAATATAAAAAAAAGCATACATTTTTTTACATTATAAATTATGACAAAATAAATTGCATTCTCGCATAATAAAGGCATTAATGTCTTGTAAAATTGTACTGACCCCAAAGTTTTGAATGGTTGTGTAACATTCAACAAAAGTGAAGCTGACAACAATTTTTCATATCGACAAATATTCATCAAAGAGTTAGAAGGGATGGATATACAGTTGCCTGCTTTACACTTGTTCTGTCCTATAGCTCATTGCTAGCCAGCTTTGGATATTTATACAGCAGCAGTTTCTCCGATAAAAGCATGCACTAAAAGCAAATGCAATTGTCAATGGATCACCATCAGCACTGACCTCACAGTGTTCCTCAAGGTCCAAAAGATGGAAGCTCCTGAGCCAAACACCAGGCTCCTCATCCATCTGCACATCCACATGATGCCCAGTCTGGCACAGCAGATGCCTCATTCGTCCCAGTCGTGCCCGCAGACCCTTCTCTCCCCCAGACACCACCAGAGACGACCTCATCCTCCACCAGAATCACACGCCAACTTCCTTCAAGAGCTGCAGACACATGTCAGGCATATAATCCAACTTTAACATCCATAGTATGGAGCTTCTACTTGCTGGACTGTGGAACAATCATGGAATAAATCGTTATTTTAAAGTTTATTCACATGAAACACAGGATGAGCTACTCACAGTGGAAGCTGCTCCTTATCCAACGTCTGTTTGGGGTAGATCAGCTCCTAAAAATCCATGTTTGCACTCTGATAAAACCAGGGGATGGGATATGCCGTGACCTCCCAGAAAGATCCCTCATGAACTGACGCAGAGACCTGAACACTAATGTTTGCTGCACAAGTGACTACTGAGGAGGTTGTCTAAACTCTAGTAACCCAGCAATTCTCATCCATCCATCTCTGATTCTCTCAGTGCTGACTAACATGAACACACTCAAACAATAATCTAATTGTCTGCACAGACTAATGGGCTGTCAGCTTGGTTTGTTCCACTCAGTGCATCCTTTTCATTGACACAATCTCTCCCTTTTCTGACAATCTTTCATTTGCGGTAACAGTACAGTTCAGTGTTCTTGTGTGTATTCTGTAGTAACTGTGAAGTAAATAAAGTATTGAAAGTGCACAATGTGAAGCATATAAAATGTAAACTAATTTTTTAAGGCAGAGGAGACACCAACAAAGGGAGAAGTATGACTCCAAAAGAAAAAGTGGCCACATGTGCTGTGCTCTGCTCTATTAATATCACAACATAGATGTTAGGTGTTTCTATTAAATCTTGAAGATGAGTCTCTGAACGACACTTAATTATGATTTACATAAAATTGTCTTACGACTCGAAGAGGAAACCGTGCATCCCATTAAATGGCGTTCCAGATACCTGCAGATTTCACCGTGTAAACAAAGAAACAGGCCTCCTTTTTCCGAACTACAAGCCATACCACCTACTCTTTTAGCGTATTTTTGAACAGCAAGCGCGTGTCCAATGAGCAAAATTCATTTTTGTCTTTACATTTTTAGCGTGGAAACAATAAATATTTGACGCTCACGAGGAGTAACGTTATTGTGCAGTTGGCGCGCCGCGTGGACTTGAATCTCGCGCGGTTGCCAGACTACATTAATTTGTATAATGTATAATTTGGTATTATTACCCGAGTTTCTCAGATAGGCTATTTCAGTTCCGTCCGAATATGCCATATCCCAGTAATCACTAAGGACAATGTCAGTAAAGATTACAGCGACTTTTTTACCCAACAGTGTGTCCTGTAGGCTATTTGCGAAATGTGCCATTTAACAGGAAAATTGCTTGTTTTAATAAATGACTCGCATTTCGTCTTATGTGAAGCTCGTGCACAGGTATCATCATCAAAGCATACAGAATATCTGAAATAGAAATGACTACATTACAATATCAGGCTGTGATTGCACTGCAACATTTCATATTTGATAGTTTACATAATTTTCTTAGGAGAGAATCTCTCTCCGAGAGATAGAACAGAAAACTAATTGGCTGACACTTAAACTGTGAATAAAGATTCATTAATGCTGATAATTAGCCGAAATAGAGGCACAATAGGATGATAAAAACCATGACATGCACAGAAAAGAACCCTGGATTATAACTTTATTATCTCTTAAGTGCATGCTTCAGATTGAGGCCTGATGAAATGCATCCACACACACTCTCACTCTCTTTCTCTCATACCTTGGTGTACCTCAGCCAGTCACACTGTTTTCTGCTTCAGTGACTCCAGTGTTATATAACAAGGTCAGGAAAGGACTTACAATTACATATACAGGGAACCTGGCCTGTAGCCTACATGGAAATGTTGCAGGAGATTCATTGATTCACTGTATTACTACTTTAAAAATGTCTGTGATCATGTTTGGTTATGAAACAATTCTAAAAAGAGGAAACACTATTATGCCAACAAAGAATCCTCTGAATATCTCTGTTATAAGGACATCCACGATTTGACAGCAAGTACAATATTATGGTAAATCATTGATAAAATCCAGGTGTTTTCTACAGAGTGTAAATGCCTTTAGAGAACTCTTAAGTCTTAATTTTCTTGTGGATTTAGATTTTTTTTTTTTAATGAATGATTGATTAATTTTACACTACTACTGCTCAAAACTTTGTGGTCAGTAAAAGATGTCTTAAATGCTTTAGAAAGACTCTTATGCTCACCAAGGCTGCTGCATTTATTTAATCAAAAACCCAATAAAACATTGTGAAATATTACAATATAAAGTAATTGTTTTCATTTTGAATATATTTATTCCTATGATCAAAGCTGAGTTTTCAGCATCATTAATGTCACATGAGTCTTCAGTAATCATTATTATATGCTGATTTAGTGCTGAAGAAGCATTTCTTATTATTATTATCAATTGTAAAAACAGTTGTGCTGCTATTTATTTTACATTTTTTTGTGGAAGCTGTGATAAGAATATAAAGTTCAAAAGTGCAGCATTCTTTTGTAACATTATAAATGTCACTGATCAAGGGATCCACAGGACATTTTTCAAATTCTGTTCTGAGATTGTATCTCGGCTTTATATTCAAAACAGGTGTCACGTGTGTCATGTGAGAACTGAGATCACCAGATGTCACGTTAAGAGTCTTCTGGCATGCAAGCAATCGTGCACAAACAACTCCGTAGCTAATACATTTACAGTATTAAAATCAAACGGCATCAACTGAGTAATTCATTTATTTTCCAAAGCATTAATATGCTCACATACAGAAGGGAGATAAAGCTACATCTGATCATGTTAAATGTTGATGAACTCCCTGGTGTCTGGATCAGATCAGTGTTTGCCCCTCTTTTTTTTTTCCTCCCACCTCCATCCCCCCTCTTCGGAGGACAACTTCATTTATTTATTTTTT